ATTCAGAAAAGATGATTCACGGATTAACTGATTCGCCGACTAAATATGGCCGACCCCACAAAAAAGCAAATCGTCCATCTCCTGATGGTCTCCCAGCCTATACACCCGCCATCAAATTGATGAATTATCGGCTCCGAGTTTTAATTGCTAGGTCCCTGCAGCGTTCGCCTGTATGGAGGCGGGGAGGCCCTCAGGGAATAAGCAGTATGGCTTTTAAGTGGATCAGCCATATTTAGTCCGCGGATCTGTTAGCCCGCTGTTGTGATTTTTAAGATTAAATTTTATTAAACCAAAGTAAAACTTCTGAGAATCACAGTCGGGTTTTAAGATCAACACTAGTTTCTGGTCACCAGAGTTGGGTTTGAAACAGTCATTTTAAACACATTTTAAACAGATGCCTTACTGTATATTTCAAAAGATGGTATCATCGTCAAATTTCTTAAAAATTGATTTTGCTTCATATTTTTTAGGAACTGAAACAAGGCAAGTACATGTACGTGCTGACAAGCGAGTCCATGGGACACTCTCACTCTTTGAGGGTCAAGGCCTACAAACGCAGAAATAAGTGGGCCTATTACTTCGACGAATGCGACGGCAACGGGTCCAAGAGATGTTGGGACGGCCATCGCAACATGCTTTACGTGATCGAGGATCAAGAATAAAGTGCTTAAATATCTTTATGATATTCTGTCTGTTATCGACGTTTTATGAAATAAATTTAAATTTGGCATCGTAGCTGGTGTGAACATGCCAGTAATCTATACGTTGCTTTTGATTCTATTCTATCGATCATTTTAATTTCGAATTTGATGTGTTGATGGTTTTTCTCTGATTGGTTACCGAAATCGGAAACAGTGCATTTCACAGTAGTCAGTGAAATATAAACATGTGAATGAGAAAGATAATTTGTCTTCCTAATTATGGGGCTATTATCATTATTATTATAATTATTATTATTATTATTATTATTATACAATCATTGACATTTGTTGCTTATTGATACCCAGGAACCTCCACGGATTTTTCACCGACCCAGAACATTTGACCAGCTAGCCATCTTCCCACGCATCAACCAATACACTACAATGTAATATTTCTGAAATGCCAGGTTTTGAAAATAAGACGAAATCTTACTTAAAACACCGTACAGCGAGGCGAGACACCGAGGAGCCTCCGGGTTTTCTCCGCGATCTATCAAATTGTACGACCGTAGAGGCCGACCCCCCTCCCTCCCCGGACTCCCCCTACCCCGCATAAACGATTCTAGTTTCTAATTATCACAGACGACATAAGTTTCTGTTTGCGAGAAGCTGAGCAGTCATTAAGAAAACCATGTCTTACAGAACATTTCAGAAGGGTCTATTTTATCTATTTAGTTATTATTTATTTATTTATTATTATTATTATTTTTTTTTTTGGGGGGGGGGGGTAAGTTTTTAAGGTCTGATTTAGGAAGATAAATAGCTTTGAGGGCCGAAAATAGAATTTTCGGCAATTCTCAAACGCGTATAGTGTACCAGTGCATTTGAGTTAATCTCTTACAGGGATAATAACTCATCGTTTTGGCCAAAAAATGAATTTTCCTGGAGAAAACAGCAATTTTAGTATACTTACCAATGGTAAATGAATCCATTTTACATTCAGAGTTAGTCCCTGGCTTTTTGCTATAAAGTTTGGATTTTTTGTTAAAATCTCTTAGGAGATTATGACAGAGTATAGTCATCAATGGAGGTCACATGGTCTGAAGACAAGCTCAGATATCAGAATAATAGCTATAACTGCCGTTTTTGTGGTAAAACAGAATATGTTATATTTGTATGAGTTATTCACAATGTTTTTATTGTGAAATATAGATCTCATACGAAGAGTTATTATCCCTTTAACTTTTTACCAAAATCATCTTCTTGAAATTTGACCAATTTTTACCTTGTATACATACAGCGCTGTTCCGTTTATCACCACCTGTAAGATTGCACTAGCTGTGATAACGAACACAATTTTGTCACAACCGCCA